TTTTTTTTTTTTTTTGCTTCTAGATATCTAGAAAATCTAAACCTATGTACATGGCTCACACATGCAAGCTCATGTGATATTTCTGTGAGGCAACATCAGTGTAGATGGCTACAGGGTATCCTCTGGGTAGAGAGACTAAGGGGAGTGTCTGGGGGGTCTCTGGGGGTCTGGGGATCAGGGAGAGAAGTGAAGCTCAAGATGGTCCCACTGCAAGCCTGGGCAATCCTGGACTTTCCGCGGAAGGCAATATTACCTTGCAGGTGATGTCACAACGTTAACACTCATTAATAGGCACATCTACCTTGCAAGGTATTCCTATTTTGCAGATGAGGAAACTGAGGCTCGAGGGGGAAAGCGACCGCGACAAAATGAGGGAACCTCTCTTTGGAGTGAGCATTTGGGTATGCCAGTGTGGAAGGGTGTCATCTCTTGCTGCCAATGACATGTGGGTGTCTGCCTCTGCCCCAGGATCGAGCATGACAACACCGGCCTGAACGCCAGCTGGTACCTGGATCGTGTGATCGTGACCGACATGAAGCGGCCTCACCTCCGCTACTACTTCAACTGCAACAACTGGCTGAGCAAGGTGGAAGGTGACCGCCAGTGGTGCCGTGACCTGCTAGCCAGCTTCAACCCCATGGACATGCCCCGAGGTCAGTGCCGAGGCGGGCCTGCCTGCCGTCCTTCCCTGCCTGGGCTGGCCCCCATCCCTGTCTTGCTCTGGGCAGTCCCGTGTCCCCTTTGCCACTTGTCCAGGGTCTTCCAGTCGGCTGGGGCCCAGCTGAAGCCCCATCTTTTCCACATGACCTCCCCAAGAGCAAGCTTATGTGCTCTGGGGACTCAAGGAAATGGGAAATGCAAACGAACCAGGAGGCATGATGGAGGGGTGGGAGCAGCCCTGGGCATATCCTGTGTTTTCAACATTTCTTGTTGATGGGTATCTACCTAGAGTCCTCTCTGAGTTCAAAGGCAGCTGCCTCCGTCTTCCTATCTCTTAGCCCTTCTTCTGATGCCCAGAAGAAGGTGAGCTATGGCCAGGGCAGGGCAGATGGGAATCAGAACTCACAGCTACAGGGGCTCCATCAAGCTGTCCCTACCTCCTCCTGATTCTATGAGGAGGGAAACGACTAATTTCAAGTGCATCTCTGGCCAAAGGCCTTAAATTCGGGCATTTTAGCTCAACAGGAGGCGGGGGAACAAATCATGTAAAAACACACACCGTATCCCGTGGCCTGTTTTAATCACACTCTGTCCCCTAAAGTTCTGACCTCACCTCACCTCATTATTGGACATAGTTGCCTTTCCAAAAACGGAGACATAACACGTGGGCACCACCATCATAGCACCTTGCTTGCAGAGTGTCATAGACTTTTGGAGGTGAAGGCATTTGATAGCCATGTGACTTTGCCGGGGTCGCTCAACAGAGTAACAAAAGGCGGACGCACTCCTTAGATTCTGCCTTCCAGCGTGTGCCCTGTCATCTCCAGGTTCCGTCCTCTCTTGCAGCCCAGCTGGGCAGAAATAAGCATATTCTGTGTCCACTGGGCTTCAGCTCGCCTTTCTCTGTCTACCTCTGATTTCCTACCTTCCAGCTAATCTTGAACTTGCCTTGTTCCTCTGTGGCCCCCACCATAATTCCTTGCAACTTCACTGTTTCTTTAAAAAAAAAAAAAAAAAGAGTTGCTATTGATCTTTCTCTTATGACAAAAGCCAAATTTGACCATTGCAGAAAATTTAGAAAACAGAAATATGCAAACATTAAAAAAAAAAAAAAAGAATACCTGTAATTCCATCATCTGGAGAAACATCACTGGTTACATGTTTGTGCCCCCATTTCTAGTCTTTTCTATGCATAGTTTGAGAGAATGGACTGGTACCACATCCTGTTTTAGAGCATGTTTGTTTCAATGCCATTAAATATGGCTCAACACCCCTGCTTGCAGTGGCTGTGAAGTGTCCTTGTATAGAGGGGCACCATCATCCATTCACTGAATCCCTTATGTTGGACATTGACATCGTGTCCCCCTCTAAAATTTTATTGTTGCTATAAATAATACACCCAAATCTTTGCACAGACAAACGATTCTTTCCTTAGGATAAATTCCTAAATAGAATTTCCAGGTCAAATAGAATGCACATGGTTAAAGCTTTTAATGGGCATTTCCAAAATGCTGTAGAAAGGGTACATCAGTGCACAACCCCACCAGCTATGCAAAAGCACCCACTTTCCTCACCCTCAATTCTTAGTATTGTTTAATTTTCTAATTGGCTAGGAAAGGGGGTTTTACAATGTTCTCTCTTTGGTTATTGGTGAGGCTGGATATTTTTCATGTGTTTATTGTGTTTATTGGTCATTGGTATTGTGTTGTGTGTGTGTGTGTGTGTGTGTGTGTGTGTGTGTGTGCGTGTGTGAATTATCTGCCCATACCCCATGCCTGTCTTTTCAACTGGGGTGAATTTCATAGATTTTCGTCAAAACTTTACGTATCTTTACTTCTTGATCCAGTCTCTTTACTAGGAATAATCCTTAGCAAGTTGTCAAGCTGGCTATCTTCCTGTCTATTCTCCCAGGCTCCCCCTTTTTTTTGGCCTTTTCCCACTATTTAGTTCTTCATGCTACCGTTTGCTTTGGTCACATGAAAATCTAGGGTTCCCCTGTTAGAAGAGCTTATGAGAAGTCACCATTAAGAAAGAATTCATGTGACCCCATAGTTCCCCAGCTTTCCACAAGAATCATCCAGGGTAGTGTTCTTGCCTCTTAAAGGAAGGACAAAGACACCCGCTGACCTTGTCCCTGAATCAGACCGCCTGGGCCCCCTGCCCTTTTATGAGCTGGAGGCACTGGAGTTTTAGTAATTCCAGGCTGGATTCTGAAAGAAGGAATGAAAAAAGGAATCTTCGAATATTCAGAGGACTGCATTGGTAAACAAAAGGTAAACTCTCTTTGCTTTTCACCTGGAATTATACCCACTTGATATGTGGTTGCTGCAGGGGAGCCTCTAATGGTCAAAATGGGGAAGATAATTATTTCTTCATCCATGCAGTTTGACAGATGAAAATACTTTAAGTCGTGGGATGGCGGCTTAAGAAGAGGACTTTTTAGTGCATATTTCATCCTCCAAGGGTTAGTGAGTCATTAGCTGGGTAGCTTTGCTCCTCTCTCCCCACCTCCAGGACCATCTCCTGAAGCTCTGTCTGATAAATAGCTGGAACCTTCTTTTGTTCCTGCTCTTCAAGGAGGGTAGGTGTTCTAGGCTGACCGACTGACCTTTTGGCCAAGGTGATCAGCAGAAAATGGCAGGGGCAGAGGGACTGGACCTTGATCAGGTTTCTAGATGGTTCCTCTATAGGGGATCTCATATATCATGCTTAGTTAGAGACACGGCACCTGTGGTTGCTGGTGAGCTGTCTTTAGGACTGCTGCCCTGGCAAGAACATTACCCTTCCTGCATGACGCAGTGCCTGACGTTTGCCACGGAGGTGACTTTTCCTTCTCTGGGTTCTCTTTAAACATGGGAAAATGCCCCGCATATTCCTAGTACGTCGGGGTGAATGCCTGGTCAGGGCCACCCTTTTCCTTCATGGAGCCCATAGGGTAAAGGTAGCCATGAGAAAAAGCAGGGACAGGAGGTTCCAAAAGAAGGAAGGGGATGATGACTAACTCAGTTAGTGTGGAATGAAGTTGTGTGGGTGGAAGATCCTAGAGCCCAAGTTCAATTTCTCAATTGTTCTCAATTGGTTGGTAAAATCGCTACACCTGGCACCTTAAGAAAACCAGGTAGCAGAGCCAACCCAAACCCTTCACCTTTTGGTTTTCTTTGTATCTGACTGCCAAACCTGGGGGGATCTGTTGCTGGGGACCAGGGAGACAGGCTGTGGTATCCCCTCAACCACTGGAGGCTCCCGAACCCCAGCCATTCACATTCCATCTTTAAGAGTCTTGTCTTATTCAAGTAAGCAATTTTCTTTGTTTACTTATTCTTCTTTAACTCACTTTTGGCAACTTATATATTTACTTGTAGGTTTATTTTTAAAAGAAAGCAGTATCACTATCACAAAAAACTGTTATCAATTCCTGTAAATATCAGCACATGTGAAAACAAATACGTAACATTAGATAACCCTCCTGTATCACCATTAGCATCCTGTGTGCCACCCGTGGTGTGCAAACTGCACCCTGGGAAACACTACCAGCCCTGATCTGTGAGGAAGGGAAAGTAGAAGTGGGGAGGAGGGGAGAAGGGCTGGTAGGGTATCTGGGCTGTCCTCTTCAAGAGTCCTTGGCTTCACTTCATCCCTAGCACACTTCTGGGGGAGGCAAGGTGAAGGATGGCAGGCAGGGGTTAATTGCACAGAGGACTGAACTGAGGGCTCAGAGAGGTGGTGATTCATCTAATACCAACCAGCCAACCACTGATAGAGCTGGGACTAGAGTGCGAGGCTCCTAATTCTTGGAATGGGCTTCCTGTGTCTCCAAGACCAAGGGCAACCAACCTGGCCCCTAAGAGATCAAGGCTTGAAGGATCACAGCTAGGGCTCATGGGGGTTAGTAGGACCAGTCGACTGTCACAGGGATCCTTTCCACAGCGTCCACATCAGTTGCTTCTCCAGCCTTGGTTTGAATCCAGCCTTTCTTGACAGTGGGTGGTTCCCAACCACCCAGCTCAGCCATCCCAGTGCTAAGGGGCACTGGTTTTCAGAAAGCTCTTCCTGCAATTAAAACCCATACACTCTCCCTGGGACTTCTGCTTGTCCATTGCAGTCCTCTGCTAACAAACACCCTGGATGTTTTCATGTCTGCCTTTCAGCCATGTGAAGAAAGGCTGCCCTCCTCTCAGGACTGCATCCCCAGGTTCCTTGGCCTCTCCTCTTGTGGCTTATGCCCAGTCTGCATCCCTGAGTAGCTCTGGTTTGTCAGTGATCCCCAAGAATATACCTCCTAGGCAAGAACCCTATGTTCCGGATTGGCGGGTGGTGGGCGGGGGTGGGGGGGCGGCGGGGGGAGTGGACTCCTCAGAACAAGAGTGCATAGGTCTCCCTGACTCCATTATCCTACTTCTTCTAAAAAATTATTACTATTGCAGTAAGACATAGATAAAATTCACCATCTTAACCATATTTAAGTGCATTATTCAGTGGCATTAAATAAATTAATTATTGGGTATCCATCACCACCATCCATCTCCAGAACTTGCTCCTCTTCCCAAACTAACACTCTGTGCCCATAAAATAGCTCCCCTTTCCCATTTCTTCCAGCCCTGGGCAACCTCTGTTCTTTCTTCTGTCTCTATGAATTTGACGACTTAGGAATCTCATATAAGTAGAATCATACAATATTTGTTCTTTTGTGACCAGCTTATTTTACTTTAGCGTAATGTCTTCAAGCTCCATCCATGTTACAGCATGTGTGGGAATTTCATTTCTGCACAGGGCTAGATGATATTCCATTATATGCGCAGCCCCTATTTTATTTATCCAGCCATCTGTCGATGGACATTTGGGTTTTTTTCCACCTTTTGGCTATTGTAAATAACACTGCTATGAACACTGTGTACAAATTGCTGTTGAAGTTCCTGCTTTAATTTCTTTTGGGTACAGACCCAGCAGTGGAGTTATTGGATCGGGTAGTAATTCTGTGTTTAGCTTTTTTGAG